CCCCAAAACCCCAAAACCCCAAAACCCCAAAACCCCAAAACCCCAAAACCCCAGATGAGGAGAAAACAATCGAAATTATATAAATAAATAGAACAACATGGATAAGCTTTCTAAGTACGAGATAGAAGGTAAATGTGGGGAAGGTACCTACGGAGTCGTCCAGAGAGCCAGAAACAAAGACTCTGATGAGCTGGTAGCCCTCAAGTATATCAAGCTTGAGTCTGAAGATGAAGGAATCCCTTCTACCGCTATCAGAGAAATCGCTTTGTTGAAAGAACTCCAACACCCAAATATTGTGAGCCTTCAAGATATTGTGTTAGAGTCTTCCCAGCTGATTTTGATCTTTGAGTTTCTTGAGCAAGACTTGTACAACATTATTAAAGCAAATGATTTCCAGGGGCTTGAAATCCCCATAGTTAAATCATATCTGAGACAAATGCTTGAAGGTGTTGCACATTGTCACAGCAAGAAAGTCCTTCACAGAGACCTGAAGCCTCAAAACTTGCTAGTCAGCAAGGACGGATGCCTCAAGCTTGCAGACTTTGGTCTTGCCAGAGCATTCGGAATTCCTGTGAAGAACTATACACATGAAGTGGTTACTCTTTGGTACAGACCTCCAGATATTCTATTTGGTTCAAAAACATATTCGACTCACATTGATATGTGGAGCGTTGGCTGCATCTTTGCTGAAATGGTATCAGGCCATCCAATGTTTAAGGGAGAGGATGAAAAGGATCAATTGGATAAGATATTCAAAATCAAAGGAACTCCAGATCCCGATAAATGGACAGGAATGCACGAACTTCCGCTATATGACGGCATGAAAGATGAGCTCCCACAGTATGATCCTAAAGATATAAGCGAGTTTGTACCAACACTTGATGAGACAGGACTTGACCTACTCGAGCAGATGCTGCAGTGTGATCCGATGTGACGTATTACAGCTGCTGATGCTTTGGATCATCCATTTTTAGCTGAAGAATAGATTGAATAAAGAGAAATTCATTTCAACAGGATTCTTAGAGCTTGGGGTTTTGGGGTTTTGGGGTTTTGGGGTTTTGGGG